GGAATCGACTCGATGGCAAAAGGTTTGGTTTTTTAAATATACGTATGCAAAGTCCCTAGGTGGTGCAAATAGTTAAGCGCTCAGTTGCCAACCAAAAGGTTAGCAGTTTGAGTCCACCCAGGGGTGCCTCAAAAGAAAGGCCTGGCAATCTACTTCCAAAAAATCAGCCACTGAAAACTCTATGCAGCACAGTTCTACTCTGATACACATGGGACTGCCATGAGTCAGAATCAACTCAATGGCAACTGGTGTGGTTTGATTTTTGGTATATACGTACGTAGTAATGTCGATGTCCGGGAAAGGGCCTGGCAGGACACCTACCCACTGACAGTAACCTCTGAGGGAGGGTATCAGCCTTGTGGGTGATGGGAGACACAGTGAGGGAGACTTCCATCATTCCCCGATACTCTTTTGTATAATTTTTTTAATAGTAAAAATGCTTCCCCATATTAGCTGTAAAATTTAAGCAAAGAAACAGCCATGTTCACTCACCCTTAGTATATGCAGGACACTAGGGTTCTCTGAGGGTCCCAGAAGAGTCGCTCTCAAAGACTGTACATCTACAGAGTGGGGAAAAAAAAAAGAGGTTATGTCCTTGGCCAACGTGAGCCTTCCTGCTGCAATATTCATCTGTCATGCATTTTATTCACTGCCTCAACAAATACGAACACCTGCCACGTGCCAGGTACCAAGGATACCCCAGTGAGCAAGATAGACAAAGCCGCTGTCCTCACAGAGCAGATGTTCTAGCACAGCAAAAATGAAGCGGGGTGAGGAGATGGTGGTGGGGCTGCTACTTTACACGGGGTGGTCGGGAGAACCTCTGTGAGGAGAGGAGACCTGGATACGTGAGACCGCAAACTGTGTAACTCTCTGAGAAACCACGGGAACAGACGGTGCAAAGGCCCCGAGGCAGGAGCGTGTGTGGAGCATCTGAGGAGCAGCGAGGAGACCAGTGTGGCTGGTGCAAGGTGAGCCAGGGGGATGAGTGGTGGGAGACGAGGGCAGGAAGGTGACAGGGCCATTATGAGGGCGCTTCCTTCCGACAGATGTGAGCTGAGGAGAGGCAAAGAAATGGCACTTGTCCTGATCTCTAACTTTTCTTTTCCTAATTGATTCCAGTCAGCTCCAAGTGCCCTGCCCTGGCCTTAGTGATGGTTCAGGAGTGAACCTCACACTGAGGAGAGCCAATGAACACCGCTCCCAGGACATCGGCTGCGACTGTGGGGAAAGAGACGGGTTACTCTCCAGGGGCTGATAACCTGGATGGATCTCCTGGTGAAGCTGCCAGGGGCCGCCTCAGAGCCTGCCTGAGAATAAAGTCAACACAGTGGGATGCAGAGCTAGGAGGCAGAAGGTCCTGGCA